CATTTCGTCCGCCTGGCGTCTCAGAGAGTTCGTTCCCTGGGATGTCCGCCCGGATATCCAGATGCCGCGGCCTTAGTTTCGGATGCTCGCGTCGCCCTCAAGCTGCTCCTGCGAATGCGACAAAGAGACCTGCTGGAGACATCCGCATTTCGGCAGTTGGTAGTGTCGAGCCGATCTGAGCCCATCTGAGGCTCCCGAGGACAGACCAAAACCGCAACGCTGTGCCTCCCTCTCGTCCTCCTTCGTTCCCCCTCCCCCTCCTCCTCCCCCTCCTCCTCCTCCTCCTCCTCCTCCCCCTCCTCCTCCCCCTCCCCTCGGGCGGCGGCGGCGGCGGCGGCCCCGGAACTGCGCGCCGACCGCGCAGCCCGGCGGGTGCTCCTCGAGGCTCCAGCGGGGGGGCGGCATCGCGCGGCGCTCTTGCGGCGCCGCCCACCGCCGATCGACGACGATCATGACGATCACGCGGACGATCGACGACGATCGACGACGACGGCGACCACGAAGACGATCGACGACCACGACATCGACGATCACGACTACGATCGACGATCACGACTACGATCGACTATCACGCCGACAACGATCTCGCCGATGATCGACAACCACGACGACGATCACGACGACGATCAACTACCATGGCGACCATCACATCGACGATCGACGACGACGATCTTCGATCACGGCGACGACGACGCCGACGATCACGACGACGACGACGACGCTCGCGCCGATGGTCGACGACCACGCCGACGACGATCACGTCGACGACGACGACGAAGACGACGACGACGATCACGACGACGACGACGACGATCGCGATGACGACCACCACGACGACCACCACGACGACGACGACGATCACGCCGACGACGGACGATCACGACGATGATCGACGGTCACGGCGATGGCGACGACAATCACGTCGTCTTCGTTTCGGAGGTCTTTGGGCGTTTCAGGGTCTCCTCGTTGCTACGGCCGGGCGCAGCTCGACAGGACTGGCGGGGATGGACCGCTGGAGGGGCCCAGGGGCGGGTGCAGGTTGGACAAGAGCGGCGGCGCCGACGAAGACGACGACGACGACGACGATCGATAGCGACGGTGGCGGCGGTGGCGGCGACGACGCCCACCATCACGACGACGATGGCCACGGCGACGATCGACGACGAAGACGATCATGGCGTCTTCGTTTCGGATGTCCCTGGGGCGCTTCTGGACTCGCCCCGGCCCGTGAGTGGGCTCGGACAGCTGGCCAGGGGACAGATTTGGGCTGGACGGCGGCGGCGAAGGCGACGACGACGACGATCGACGACGATCACGACGACGGTGGCGGTGGCTGCGACGACGACGACGACCACGACGACGGCGACGGGGACGGTCGATGCTCCAGGATCGAGGCTCCACGATCGACGTACTTCGTAGTCTCGGCCAATCCCTGGACCTGGGCCGTGATCTCTTCCGCCTGCATGCCTCCGCCCTGCCTGGCCAGTGCCTGCTCTTCGCCGTTCGAGGCTCGAGGATCACCACGTAGCTTGCACAACATAGATTGCACCGCATAGGTTGCACCACTTAAACTGCAACACGTAGCTTGCGCAACATACGTTGAACCGCATATGTTGCACTGCATAGATTGAAGAACATACACTGCACCACCTAGAGTGCACAACAGATATCGCACCACACATATTGCACCACATAGAGTGCACCACATATATTGCACAACATAGATTGCACCACATAGAGTGCGCAACATAGATTGCTAGAGATGCAGTTTCGGATCTATGCTGGCTAACATATATGTATATACATGTTCACAGTCAAACCGAAGTAGTAGGATGAGTAACTTTCCAAGGGTGCCGTATCCCTGCCAGCGATCTGCGCGATCCGCGGTCGGCGGCCGAACGTCTGCGTCCTCCACCCTCCTCCCTCCACCCTCCTCCTCCTCCGCCTCCTCGTCTCCTCACCCTTTCCAGCTCCACCGCAGGGAGTGATTGGAAAAGGGGGCTGCGAAATCTGCTTCGTGCAGCTGGTTTCGGCTCCGCCGCCCAGGCCCTTTCCTCGATGCATGGCCACCTTCCAGTGTCGGGAGGTGCGCCAGGAGAATCATGCACATGCAGCTGGTTCGCGACCACCCCCTTTGCGAGCCCCTCCTGTCGTCCGCCCTGAGCTGGCCTGCGCTTTCTCCTCCCCGGACCGCCGTCGTCGTCGCGGTCGTCGTCGTCGTCGTCGTCGTCGTCGTCGTCGTCGTCGTCGTCGTCGTCGTCGTCGTTGCCGTCGTCTCTTTTTTCGTCTTCGTATCTATTATAGTTTTTTGTTCGGCGAGAGCCCCTGGAGCTCTCGACGCCGTCGGTGGGGCATTTTTTTCTTCGCGGGGTTGGTTTTCAGTGTCCTGGGGCCCGCAGACGACCCTGGGGACAAATTCACAACAGAAGCCCTGCTGTCGTGATATTTCCAAGTACCAGTGAGGCCAGACGCGCGAGCAGCCTGGCCGTCCAGTCTTGTTTGTCTGCTGGATGTCTACCCCCCATGCTGTCCAACGTCCTTAGGCTGATGGTGCTTCGCTGTACACGTAGAATCAGTCGGAATGCAGCCATAGCAGCATATCCGAGGCTGATTTTGATGCAAGCTCACTTGTGCACCACACTCCGCACGCTGTGCTGGACGGGAGCCGTCGCAGAGGCCTTCAGTTCCGAACTCCTCAGGCTCAGGACCGCTGGCGCCCCGAGCCCTCCCCTCGGGCGACGAGAACTGCGCAAGTGCACCGGTCCTGGCCAGGCCCGTCCCGGACCCAGGGCCCAATGCATACGCCCCCCCCCCTGAGAGCTATAGGCTGTTGGCACAGTAGATACATGCTGCATGAGAAACTTGGGGCAAGTCTCCGCCATGCGGAGGAGGAGAAGGAGGATGAGGAGGAGGAGGAGGACAAAGGACCACTTGGGAATGTTTGACTAAGCACAAAGTGCGTGGCAGTCCCGCGGGAGAAGTGTCACACATGGCCTTCGGCGGATGAGAGAAAATTCCAACCAGCAGCTATCGATGTGCAATAGCTGTGCGCTCCCGCTGCCGAAGGACAGCACGCCGTCACAATTGAGCAGCAACTAACTCCTGAGCCAACCGACATGGCCCCAAGGGACACACATTCTTTGGAAAACATTTTGTCCGTCACAGAACGCAAGAGCAATCCACACGGGCGCTCGCAGTAGTCGGGGACACGACTCACTGATTGTCTGGATGTCTGGATGCAAGAGAAGGACGCGGGAAGGCAGGGCGGCGGCGGAGGGAGCCGTGGGGGGGAGGGCATTCACAGTTGACAGAATTTCACGGCGAGCGCGCCGGTGCGGCCAGCCGGGGCTGCCGTACCAGGGCAGTGGACGCGGGACGGCATCACGGCCACATCCAAGGACTTTAGCCAGGGCTGCAGGCGGTGAGAGCGTGGAGGGCAAGGTCTTTTTTGTTTTCCTTCTTTGTAAAGTCCGCACCAGCGATAATTCACAGTGATCTGAGAGAGCGTCTGTACCCGCGGACCCATGATCGCGGACGCACATTATGTACGCGAAACTGACTACTTCCTGCTGAGTGGCAATCGGCAATTCGCGCACTAACACCGCAAGAGGGAGGCCGATGCAAGCGAACAAGCCTAGTACAATCCATGGCAGCAGGTAGCCCCAACATTTTCGAGCCGCGTCCGCTTCAGATAGCGACGCGCCTGTCTGGCCGTGCTGCCCCAGTAAGCCTCCCGAGGGACACCACTCCTTCGGGCGGCCGATCACCCCCACGCATGCCACGGCGGGGGACCTAGACCGTCTGAAGGATGGATGAGATTTAGGCAGCGCGCACCTCTTCGCGCCGCGCGTTCTGTCATTTTCGAGCTGGCGGGCGCAAGCGCCCTCAGATAACGAGGCGCCCTTTGGCTTTGCTGCCCCAGCAAGCCTCCGTGGGGCACCACTTCCACGCAAAACGAATCCACCCCCACGCGCGCCAGGGCGGGAGACCCTTGCCGTGGAAGGACGGGTAGGGCAAAACGGGCGACGAGGTGCAAGAACGTCCGCCCGCCCTTGCCGAACATCGCGGTTGCCCACGACCCTCGGACAGGCGCGGGCGAGATGACGATCGGGCTGGGGGGGGGAAGGGAGATGGAGGAGGAGAAGGAGGAGGAGGAGGAGGAGGAGAAGGAAGAGGTGGAGGAGGAGGAGCAGGAGGAGGAGGAGGAAGAGGTGGAGGAGGAGAAGGAGGAGGAGGAGGAGGAGGAGAAGGAGGAGGAGGAGGAGGAGGAGGAGGAGGAGATGGAGGAGGTGGTGGCGGAGGAGGAGGAGGAGGAGGAGGAGGAGAGAGGAGGAGGTGGAGGAGGAGGAGGAGGAGGAGGAGGAGGAGGAGGAGGAGGAGGAGATGGAGGAGGGGCCCGTCCAGGATCGGTGTATGTGCGCACGGCAGGTTCGCGCCGCGCCGGCGCGGCTGGGACCCTGGCGCAGACGTGCAAGTTTGAGCGCGGTCAGTGACCAGTATCTGGTCGGCATCCACCGATCTGCACTGTGGGGAGGCCGCGATCGCTGGATTTTCAGGATTTATGAAAATCTCGACGGAAGGTTCCACGTCAGAAAACGTCACGATGGAAAATTGGTCCTGGGGAGTGTGTCGAGACCCCCAGGGGTCGGCGTTATGACAAAATCATGACGTCGGGGGTCTGGGAAGGTTGACTGATCCATGCGGTGCTAGAAGCCGACGCACAAACCAGATATCCGATGCCTTGATTTGTTCAACACGGGGGTCCCCAGAGGTCCCGACCCTTTCCCTGGGGCCAGCTTGTCATCCCGTGTCCTTTCTTGACGGCCCTGGGGCCCGGTGAGGCCGAAGGCGGCCAACCACTTCCTGCCGTGATTTCTCCACGATGCGAGTATGTCTGGGGAGTCGGCGCGGCACGCGCCTGCCGCAGCGCTCTCTCTCTCTCGCGCTCTCCCCGCCACCTGCCGTGGGCAACCCACTGGCAGCGCCCGGCTCGCGTCGCCATGCCGCCGAAGGGGTCCGGCGCAGGCGAGGCTTCCGCGGGCGCGGCGCCCACTCCGCTCAGGCGGCGCTGGACGTCGTCGTCATTGTCGTCGTCGTCGTCGTCGTCGTCGTCGTCGTCGTCGTCGAAGATTTTTGGGGTTTCCTGGAAATTCTCGTCACCACGGCTTTTTCAGTGGCTTGGGAAACTGGCCAGGGTAGACTTGACCGACCCTGGAAGCGGAAAGTGTGACCACGACGAAGACGCTCGAAGAGGTCCGAAGAGTTTTCGGCTTCTGGAGGCCCGTTTCGGGCTCCAGCCAGGGCCGCTCCGCTCCGCCTCCGCTGCTCTCTCCCTGGGGGCCTCTTGGGGCATGTTGGGAGCGTCTTGGGGGCCTCTGGGGGAATGTGGGAAGCCTCTTAGGGGCCAGCTGGTGGTCTCGGCCTCTTGGGGATCCCTCTGAGAGCCCTCCTGGTGCTTCTTGGGCAGCCTTTGGGGCCTCCTGGGTCGTCAGCGACCAAAGCGCGGGAACACTAAGCTCCGACAAGAACCATTTCGTGGCAACTCATTGAATTTGGCCTGTTGGAATGCGCCAGCCCTCAGATCTAGCGCTGCAGAATTGCAACATTGCAAAAAATCGCCACCAGAGCCCCGGACCACATATTTCTGAGCAATTTTTCGAGCTGGATCGTCTGCCAGGCTCCCAAGGCCCGAGAAAAGGCAAAATCTCCCGTTCAGGATCTGACGGAATGGCTCCTTTGCCCCTCCCTACAGACATTTCCCATGGCGAGTGGGGGGGGGGCCATTGCACCGACCTGGGCACCAGGGAGGGCCCTCGGAGGGTCGGGCGCTCCAGAGAGGGCCCCGCCCTCGAGGCTGGCGGAAGCAAGACTTGAGGTGAGTCAGCGGGGATTTGGAGTTTTCGGACGTTTGCCACGGTTTCTGAGGGTTGTCCTTCCACGGGATGCGTCCCAGCAGCTGCGCCTCGCCGAGAGCGTTCCAGGGGTGCCCGGATCGTCCCGAACGGCCGCCGGAGACCAGAGCTAAGGCAGAGCAACCGTAAGAGGGCCAGTGTGATGAGTCAGTGGGGATTTCGGGTCACCGCACGGCTTTGGAGCTCGAGTCATTCTCCGAGGACGTCTCGGGCGGCTGGGATCCGCGAGGTGCCGAAACCGTGCGGTGTCGGACCGCGCGGTGTGGTCGTTGGGGGTTCCGAGGTCACCACGCGGTCCGTCAGCACACCGTGTTGGGGCCCCGGAAAAACGGGGCCAGCTCCGCCAGCGGAAGCCGGCGGAAGCTCGGCCGAAGGTTGCGGAACCTCAACCAGCCCCCGCCCCCCCCGAGAGATGGATGTTCAGATTTGTTGGGTTGACGGTTTCCGGAAGGAGCCATGCGTCAGGGATCTATTTAGGTCGTCTTCTTTTCCCCTCCCCTCGCCCTCCCTGCGAGGTTGAAGTGTATGCATATCCGCCTCCCGGGTACCCGATGTCTCAGGGCCCCGGGAGGCGGTGGATATGAATACGTTTGGTCCTCCCCATGGCCGAGAGTATCCATGTCGACGTATTGCGGCACCATCGATGAGTGTTGGGTTTATTAATGTCCTCTTTCCCCTCCCTTGGGGCCCTCTCCTCCCCTCCTCCCTTCTTCTGGTTCTGGGAGGGTGCGCTGCGGCATCATGGATGTGAGTTGGGTTTGCTCAGGTCCTACTCTCTCCCCTCTCGTCCTCCCCCTCCCTCCCTCCATCTGGGTCGTTGGGGCCTTGTGGGCTACATGTTCCCAGCACGGTCCGCGATATCCGTTTGTGGAAGCACCACAGGAAGGGTAAGACTATTGAGCAGATCTACCAGAAGAAAACGCAGCTCGAGCACATCCTCCTGAGGCCAGACACGTATGTAGGTTCGTGCGAGCATCAGAACCAGGAGATGTTTGTCTTCGACGAGAAAAAGGGAGAGATCGTTTGGCGCAAGATCGACTATGTGCCTGCACTGTACAAGATCTACGATGAAATACTTGTCAACGCCGCAGACAATGCCATGCGCGATAAAACAATGAATCTGGTCGACATCACGATTGACAAAGAAGCGGGTAGCATTTCAGTCATGAACAATGGCAAAGGCATCCCAGTGCAAATGCACAAGGAGCACCACTGCTACGTGCCGGAGCTTATTTTCGGCCAGCTTCTCACCAGCGACAACTACGATGACAACGAGAAGAAGGTGACGGGCGGCCGCAACGGCTTCGGGGCGAAGCTCACCAACGTCTTTTCCAAAAAGTTCATCATAGAGACTTGCGACAAGACGGTCAAGAAAAAGTTCACCCAAGAATTTACTGATAACATGAGCAATAAGCAGAAGCCCAAGGTGGTTGACTACTCAGGCACCGATTATACGCGTGTCACATTCTGGCCTGACTTGAGCAAATTTGGGATGAAGAAGCTCGACGACGACATTGTGGGCTTGATGATGAAGCGCGCCTATGACGTCGCTGGCTCCACTCGGGAGTCCATTAAGGTAATCCTTAACGGAAAGAAGTTGCCATGCTCGAATTTTGAGGAGTATTGCAAGTTGTATGTTGCCGGGTCAGGCGGTGGAGAAGGTCCCCCCCCTCTGTTTTATGAGCGCGCGAGCGACCGCTGGGAAGTGGCCTTCAGCATGAGCGAAGGTGTTTTCAGCCAGTGCAGCTTCGTCAACTCCATAAATACAATCAAGGGTGGCACCCACGTCGTGCACGTTAGCGACCAGATAGTAGATGCCCTCCTCAAGGTGGTCAAGAGCAAGAACAAAGGCGCATCACATGTCAACGTAATGTTATCACAGCTTGATTTAGGGGTGCCTCATTTTCAGCCCTCTCCCTTTCTCGGCAGGTTCGCGCCGTGTTGACGAGGCGGACATCCCAGCGCAAACGTTCACGGTTGAACGTCGCTGGTGGCCCAATCTCGGCCGATATCGAACGATCCGCACTGTCGCAATGCCGCGATCGTTCAAAGTTGAACGATCTACGCGTAAGTCGTCACGACGCGAACCTGCCAGAGTATTAGCTGCTCTGTCGATGCCCTTCCTCTGGAGGAGTGCATCCAAATCC